TTTGTTTTTGTCGTAGGCCTGTGTAATTTATTGTTAACTTAATATTATACAAAGGGGTCTATGAAACTGTATTTAAAATAACCTTTCCACTGACACGTCAAGCTACAGGCTACACGATTCTAATTCAATATGATAACAAGTATAATTCCAGTAACAGACGCTTTTAACGTGTTTGATTGACCGTTCTCGTAAGTCTAGGCTATTTTATGTCCATTTCTGTAGGCTATTGTTTTGACAGTGAAGGGAATTCATCATTACTCAATTTGCGCAAAGCATCACTTAATACATTCTTTGTTAATACATTTGTATTGTACGCTGTAATATACAATTTTTAAATATAAGTTGTTAATGTTATGTGCACGATATAACATTTCTATTTTGAAAATGTTAATTGGGCTTTGCATGATAGTCTACAGCACACTCCGTGAAGAGAAAATTTCAGTTTCAAAAGCATTTATTAATGTGTTCTAAAACAAGAAATTTTTGTCTGCTCGCTTTCTTTTTCTCTGCGTAGATTAAATTGAGTTAGATCTAAATAATAGACAGGCCTATATATTTGGATATATATTTGGTTAATTAAGCACAGAACTCAAGATTTTGGCTACTTTCGCTGTAGACGAGTAAACAGAGGAAAGCAGAATCTTAACGATAGCCCGCTGATGCACGCTGGCTCGCCTTACATTTTATGACCAAATGTGAAACGTGGTTTTAAAAAATGTAAAAATATTTAACATGCTAAATTCAATAAAGAAAAAACAAGTTTTGTTTTGTTGTTGTTGTTTTTGTTGTTTTGCCTGTTTTCTTGTTTAAAATAGCCTACATGTTTTCTCCAAGATAAATACGTAATTTGTGCAAATATTTCTATATAAAAAATGGGCTTATAAATTCTTCATAAGTTGACACCCCACTGTCTGTTTACGCGTATTTAGTTCAACGATGTAACAGAATAAGCGTTCATAACATTGTGTTAATAGCCTGTTTATCTCAGTATAAAGCAGCATCAGGTCAAACAAATTACAATACAAGATGTGAGAAAAAAAACTTGTGTTTGTCCTTTTTAATTTTGAGAGTGTTATTGTTTCCATGAGACACCTGAAACTACACTTAAAATATGCGTTTGGTTTGGTTTGGTTGGGTTGGGTTTGGTTTATTCACACTTGACAAGCTCGAAAACTGCTTTATGGCGGCTGACATACGGACTTTTAAGATTTGCACGCAAAACATGTCACGCAACAAAAACTGGTATACGTGTTTTGTTCCCTTCCACACAAATATTGACTACAAAACGCCTTCAATCAAAATAAATAAACACACGCGTAAAGTCGTGACCGTGTAAATTAAACTCTTGTGTGTTTTATCAATTTACGTGAGAATCTGCACGGTTTTTGTCATATGAAAAGTGCCTTCGCTATTATCAATTTATAAATAAAGTATTCTAAATAAAGGGCAAATTACACTAAATTGGGTGTATCGCATTTTGCGCATTCAGCCTTCACACACATCATGTTCAAAAGTCTTTGCACACTCTGAGCTCAACTTTCCTCTAAACTGTATTAAATTATGTATGTTATTTATGCCACATTATGGCCAAATATTGTGACACGATTTAAAGAATTGAGTTTATTGAATTTATTTAGTTGGCTACCTATTATTAATCAATATATAGCCATTAGTAATTTACTACTACTACTGCTACTACTACTACTACTACTACTACTACTACTACTACTACTATTACTACTACTACTACAACTACTACTACTACTACCACTACTACTACCACTACTACTACTACTACTACTACTACTACGCTACTAACAACAACAGCAATAATAATAATAATAATAATAATAATAATAATAATAATAATAATAATAATAATAATAATAATAATAATAATAAACACCTATACAGAAAATGCTACGATAGGCTACAACTATACCTATTTGAAAACCCTTAACCACGCACCTCATCCAAACCAGAGAACAGCATTTGTTGTGTTTTTTATAATCCACCTCATGGATATTTGTAACACCGCTCAGAGACGTCCATTTGTCTGAATCCTTTCAACATAAAGGTAGCCTACAGCAGCCCAGCAGTGGTGAAGGATTAAAGGATTCCGGCCCCCGTGTGGTCAGCAGGCAACACTTCCAGAGTCTCTGCAGCCTAATTTTGTTGGTGACGTTGTGCGTTAGAGAAACCTACAAATTTTCCACGTCACCCTCCCAGGGCCAAGGTTGGTGGGTGTGGCAACAGCAGAGAGGAGTTCCTAGCCTTGATCTCAGCCAATGCTTTGTTTCAGATGGTATAGACTGCTAAACATTCGACGATACAATACGCCAAAGCAAATATTTAAATAATAAGAAAACAGCACACGTTTCTCAGTATGCATGCAATGTCGTGTGTATGGGCGACATTTTAAGGACTTTACACCATTCAGAAGATATATATATATATATATATATATATATATATATATATATATATATATATATATATATATATATATATATATATATATATATATATATATACACACACACATATTGCTAATTACTATTTTCTATCACTGAGACCCATGGATATGTCTAAAAGCTTACCTCATTCAGAACGAAACAGAGATCATCCGCCGATTGTTCTAAACTAAACGCCAGTCCTATGTCTTCGTATCTGGAAAGCATTCTTTTATCCTCATTCTTAACCTTGTAACATGCAAAAGTACAAATTAAAAGGCAGAGTGATAAATAAGAGATGAACGCCTACGCGCAACACACCACGCACAACAGAAAACTCACAATGTTTGCACATTGGAACCACCCATTATGACAACAACTCAACCAACAAGCGACGTTTTTTCCTCTCTTTTGAGAATTGGGCGTACAGTTTATAACAACAAGTTTTAAAACGTTTCATGCGTGAAAGCTATACATTTTACAGGCGCAATAAAGTGTATTTAGTGGGCGCGCTAAAGCTGGCAAGTTACCTGCTGTAGTTTAACGCGAAGGGTCAAAGTTGGACTCTCTACACATTCCTTTTCTGTTCTCACTTGATCCTATTGGCCAGCTTTGCTGTGGCACACATTTCCGGGCAAATGGCGCTCCTTGATTCCACTTTATTGTAGAGGGTTAAAGGTGAAGGCCTTGACATTATTGAAGTTCAAAGACTAGATTTAATTATAAATTGTAGTGAATGCACACGTGCAACCTCCTTAGTTTGTAACATGGAACAGGTAGGGCACAGCAATTAGTTTAAGAAAAAAATACGAGCCCATTAAAATTGCATTTACACCCACTGTATCTAGCTCACATGCCAAATGCATGCTCCAATTAGTCAACAATTCTTCATTTGAGCTGATGTGTTGAAATCCCATGCAGTTCGGGGTCAGTAAGATGATAAATAAAATGACGCTGTGCATAAAAGTGGTTCACAGCGGATGGCTTGCATTGTAACCCATCTCTTAAGAGGACTGAGCACTATTAGTGATATTGACTGAACAATAAATGGTATAATAATAAACTGCTATCACTAAGCTTCAATGCTAACTTGCTAGGTGTATGTAAATGCTTCGTAATGACAGAACTGAGCATCAGTGCTGTATGAAAGCGCGTTTGACGAGGCAAATCACAATCAGTTTCCATGTCAGCAGCTTGGAAACTTTTCCCCTTTGTACATACAGTCTTCCTTGTTTACTATTTACTGCGGAAGTGAACACCATTCCCCTTGAACAGACGGGGCAATTAGGAGAAAAAAGTAGCCATTTAGTGTTCTGTCTTTATGGTAGTGTCTAGACTACAAGAGAGGCTACATTTAGTGCACACTAAAAGTCACTGAAAGTAATTCATTAATCTTGATGCAACAAGAATTAAATATGTATTTTATTTGTTACTAATGTTATTGTAGATTCAGCAAATTGTCATGTTTGCTAAAACTAAATGTACAGACATTGTCAAATGTAAGGCCATTCATCAGATTCTAGTGAACTGATGTGATAGGAACACAAACTTCACAAAGTCGGTATGACTTTACTATACGTTTCTGTTTATTTCATATGTATTACATAGAGTATGGGTCAACAAGATGTGACTCCCTCTGCCATTGAAAAGGGGAGGAGGAGGGGGGTGTAGCAGCAGTGAAATGGAGGAAAGAAAATTTAATATACGCCTATTTACATAGATGCACGTTGCATGGGTTGCTTTATTTTCACATATTGGATATCACATTTTTCAGTGAGGAAATGCATCAAGTAAAACAGCCATAACACTGGTCTGAAAATAATTCCATATATTTACAAAGAGGAAAGGGAGATTAGCGGGAGGTATATGCACAATATTGATTACACTGAATATTTTACAAATATGTCCAAGTGAACATAGAGTAAACACTAGTCATGATGAACAGACAACTTCAAGAGCCACATTCTAAATGATTATTCTAGAGACCTTTCTGGATATTTATGAAAATGCGCTTTCATCCCATGCAGGCCTAAAGCATGACACCAACTGTCCACTTGCAATGCACACATAGTGCATGGGCTTCTTTACAAAATGGCTGTGCCCACGGTTACAATTCAAGGGAGTATATGCCTTAATTAATGTCTTAAATAAGAGCTTACACTTTCAACTCACAAAAGGGGGTTTCCGGAAAAATACTGGAGGCGATCCCTGCTTAATTTCTTCTCTTT